GTACAAGTCTTAACCACTAAGTTGAAATAGAAATTATACGTTTATTCAAAAATTAGATCCAATCTGACATCTTCTGTTTCAAATATCTATCTTCATGCCATTATACTCTCAACCATGTCGTACTGTTTACCTGTTTGGTCTCTTACAACAAATGAAATCTTAGAACCCATAGTTAGGCTCTACAACAGGGCCTACAAAGTTCTCACTGGGCATGTTTTCAGCCCTCGTAGGTCGCACGTTGAGTGAGTACTAATTGAAGGAGGTAAAATAAAATTGATCCTTTTTGTTCAAGCATCACTTTTCTGTTTCTCTGTCAGGAGTTAAGTAAGGACTTTATCTCTTATTTTGTAGGTAAATATATGGTTTAGATAGTTTTGTTTGACAATACTTTAAATTAAATAAAACTAGCAACACATTGCTTTCTGTTTTATTTACTTTAAAGAAGTGAGGAGTAGGGAGAAAAAATGATGTTTTTTTGATACTGAGACTGGACGAGTAGCTCTCGGTAAACTGCCGACTGCAAAAGTAGCTCTTGGTTCAAAAAAGGTTGGGCACCCCTGCTGTAGAAGATGTCTGATGCCACCCCAGAGTCATAAAACGTCTTCAGGAGCGTCCCCTGCACTCCAAAAGACCTCAGCCTCCTCAGCAGGTAGAATCTGCTCTGACTCTTCCTGTAGAGTCTGTGTTGTGAGTCCAGTCCAGTTTATTGTTCCGGTGAACACCCAGGTCCTTATAAGAGTCCACTCTCTCAATGTCCACTCCCTGGATGTTCACCGGTGTCAGCGAGGTGGGTCTGTGTCTGCAGAAATCCACCACCAGCTCCCTCGTCACTTCCTCCTCAGCTCGCGAGGGATATCAGGTCGTTCAGCCGGGGGACGCACCGCAGAGCCACCCAGTGCTAGCAACTGGTCCCAGGTGTAAACAATGGGGGCATGCTCACTCACACCTTCTCTGGACGAAAAAGCCGTAAAAAACAAAAACAAAACTGTCCATAGAAAAGTCAGCTCCATAGTTGGTGCAAAAGATTAGAAAAACACACAAACACACAGCTCCTAATAAACTAAAAAACCAAGAAAAATCACAGAGTGTGAGTACAGCTGCTAAGACTGACTGCCTGCTGCTGCGGCGCCAGAAGTAAAAAAAAAAGTAATGTAGCTATGAAAATCCAACAAGTTTCAAATAATTCAATGTTAAAATCAATTCTTTGTTAAAACAACAGTCAGTAAAGGAGTCAATTTCAGTAGTAGCATCTCTGAACTGTCCCACCTGATGAGCACTTCACTTTCTATCTCCAGCAGCTCTCCATCAATGTTCCAAGGTAAGGCCACGCCCTCTGACAGGATGGTGGGCGCTTCTTTGGCATCTCCCTCTTCTTCACTCTCCTCAGAACAACCAGCCAGTGAAAAGGGGTGGAGCTTCACCGCTGACACAGAGTGGGTCTCCACAAAGGGGAAGTTGAACTGTAGACAAGTGAAGGTAAATGAGTGTCAGTGCTAAGCTGAGGATGACAACGAGGTCTGGTAAATCATTACTAAGCAGTTTGTTTTTATGCTGTAATGAATGAGTTCTTTCCTATTTACTTCCTATTTACATTAAGACAGTGAAGTTCCACTAGAATAGTTCCTGGAGAAACTACGAAAAGACTTGTTTATATGTCCAAAAACAGCTAAAATGTAGCTGGAATTTCTTAAAATAGCATAAGGAAGCATAACAAGCACAGGTTTGATAAACTATTAGAAAGAAGTTGGGAAAGCCACCAAATGTGAGATTTGCTTAAAAAAACTAATTTTAGTTAATGACAGCTAAACATTAACTAAAATTTCTACAAATAACTGAATATAGTGAAAATCAACTGTAAGAAGCAGAAATAGTTCAAATTAGCAGAAGGAAGCACAAACAAGTAAATAAGTACAGAGACATGCCTAGTGTCTCTGATCTTTTCTGTGCAAACACATCCACAAAGTTCTGGCCAGTCACATTATGCTTAGTGCATACCCTGAGAGAAAAACATGCTTGGGTTGTGCACAGAATGGGTTCCCAGGGGTGGTGTGAAAACAAATACATAATTTTTGTCATGCAACCATGCCAGTGAGAACAAACTTTGGCACATCTGATTGAGTATACATCAACCTTTAGTTTCATTTTGCAGGTTAATCCAGTGAAAATCACTGAAGTTGCTTCTTGGTGGTTCTCACCTGCCCACTAGAGCTGTTGTATCTCTTCAGGTGCTTGATGAACTCTGATCTGGACGCTTTCCCTACTGTGATCAGCAATGCACTGCCATTGGTCAAACTATCACAAACAGGAGGTAGAGATGGGTGTTGCAGAATTTTATGAATTAAACTGCAGTTTTGAAGATATTATAGAACAAAATGGTTATTATCCATGGGGTACCTGGTGTTTGGAGCAAGTCCTTTGGGTGCATGAGGGCTCAGACAGGGGATGGACATGACACTGATGTTCAAATACAAGCCCTGCTTGGTTATCCAGGACTCATTTCCCTCTGCATTAACCAATCACAGATGAATGAAATGACAGTCATAGTTGAAATGTACACACACATGCCTATACTGAAGTTTTGAAATGTCCATCTATAGACAAAAATACAATGCTTACCTGACACTGGGTCATCTTTTTCAACTTGGTCCTGGTCTCTAAGAGTGGAGGGCCAATTTTGGTTAAAAAAGGAAACAGTTTTCACTGCACTAAAACTTTTTGGCCCAGAAATACGACTCTAAATATTATGTATGTAAAACTGAAGATAGACAACTTATTAAATCAGCAAAGAAAAAAATGTTTAAATGTAAAAAAATTGCTTTATATCATGTTTACTTTAACAAACAACATGTTAATTAATTGTTGTCAACAACTAGGAGAAATTTCATTAACATGCACTAAGAACTTTGTTGACTTTGTTTTGGTTTGTTTTGTTATGCAGTTTTAAACTCAGTAATTAAATAGTGTTTTCACACATTTACTGTGTAAGGCCCTGTCACACTATAATGTTTTAGACAACTTATGCCAACATATGAAAATTTTAAAGACATCTACGTTTAGGTAAGGGATCAGGCAAAGTGCAGCTCAAAGACCGCTATGATGAATATGATGATGGATTGAGTGTTCCCTCGCCCGGACGCGGGTCACCGGGGCCCCACTCTGGAGCCAGACCTGGAGGTGGGGCATGTTGGCAAGCGCCTGGTGGCCAGGCTTTCACCCATGGAGCCCAGTCGGGCACAGCCCGAAGAGATGTGGGTCCCCCTTCCCATGGGCTCACCACCTGTGGGAGGGGCTGTAGGGGTCGGGTGCAATGTGTGTTGGGCAGTGGTCGAGGGCGAGGACATTGGCGGTCCGATCCTCAGCTACAGAAGCTGGCTCTGGGGACGTGGAATGTCACCTCTCTGGTGGGAAAGGAGCCTGAGCTGGTGTGTGAGGTTGAGAGGTTCAGATTAGATACAGTCAGACTCATCTCAATGCACCAATCTGACTCTGGAACCAGTCTCCTCCAGAGGGGTTGGACACTTTTCCACCCTGGAGTTGCCCATGCTGAGAAGCGCTGAGCAGGATGGGCATACTTATTGCTCCCATCTCGGTGCCTGTATGTTGGGATTCACCCCGGTGAATGAGGGGGTAGCCTCCCTCCACCTACGAGTGGGGGGACGGGTCCTGACTGTTGTTTGTGCCTATGTACCTAACAGCAGTTCAGATTACCCACACCTTTTGGAGTCCTTGGAGGGGGTGCCGGAGAACGCTCCAAAAGGGGACTCACTCGTTCTGCTGGAGGACTTCAACACTCACGTGGTTAATGACAGTGAGACCTGGAGAGACGTAGTTGGGAGGAACAGTCCCCCCGAACTGAACCCGAGCGGTGTTTTGTTATCGGACTTCTGTGCTCGTCATGGATTGTCTATAACGAACACCATGTTCAAGCATGAGTGTGTCCATATGTGCTCTAGGCCGCAGTTCAATGGTCGACTTTGTTGTCGTTTTAGCTGATCTGCGGCCACATGTTTTAGACATTCGGGCGAAGAGAGGGGCGGAGCTGTCAACTGACCACTACCTGGTGGTGAGTTGGCTCTGTTGGTAGGGGAGGATGCCGGTCAGACCCGGCAGACCCAAACATTTAGTGAGGGTCTGCTGGGAACATCTGTCAGAGTCTCCCGTCAGACAGAGCTTCAACTCACACCTCTGGGAGAACGTAGAACACATTCAGGGGAAAGTGGGGAACATTGAGTCTGAGTGGACCATGTTCTGTGCCTCCATTGTCGAGGCGGCTTACCTGAGCTGTGGCCGTAAGGTTGTCGGTGCCTGTCGTGGCGGCAACCCTCAAACCTGCTGGTTGACATCGACGGTGAAGGATGCTGTCAAGCTGAAGAAGGAGTCCTATCAGGTCTTTTTGGCCTGTGGGACTCCTGAAACAGCCGATAGGTATTGGCAGTCCAAGCGGATTGCAGCTCGGGTGGTCGCTGAGGCAAAAACTCGGGCGTGGGAGGAGTTCGGAGAGGCCATGGAAAAAGACTTCTGTGCGGCTTTGAGGTGATTTTGGTCCACCATCCGGTGTCTCAGGAGGGGAAAGCAGTTCGCCACCATCACTATTTATGGTGGGAATGGTGCGCTGCTGACCTCATCTCGGGCCGTTGTGGGTCAGTGGGCGGAATACTTCAAAGACTTCCTCAATCCTACCAGCACGTCTTCCCATGAGGAAGCAGAGCCTGAGGACCCTGGGTTGGACTCTCCAATCTCTGGTGGTGAGGTCACTGAGGTGGTTAAAAGCTCCTTGGTGGCAAGGCGCTGGGGGTGAATGAGATTTGCCCGGAGTTCCTTAAGGCTCTGGATGTTGTGGGGTTGCATTGGTTGACGTGACTCTACAATATCACATGGACATTGGGGGCAGTTCCCCTGGATTGGCAGACTGGGGTGGTGGTCCCTCTATTTAAAGGGGRGACCACAGAGTGTGTTCCAACTATATCCACTTCTGAGCCTCCCTGGTAAGGTCTATTCAGGGGTCCTGGAGAGGAGGATCGGTCGGATAGTCAAATCTTGGATTCAGGAAGAGCAGTGTGGTTTTTGTCCTAGTTGTGGAACAGCGGACTTGCTGTACACCCTCAGCAGRGTCCTGGAGGGTGCATGGGAGTTTGCCCAACCAGTCTACATGTGTTTTGTGGACATGGAGAAGGCATTAGACCATGTCCCTCGGGGATTCCTGTGGGAGGTACTACGGAAGTATGGGGTACCAGGTCCATTGATACAGGCTGTTAGGTCCCTGTATAACCGGTGCCAGAGCTTGGGCTGCATTGCCGGTAGTAAGTCAGACTCGTTTCAGGTAAGAGTTGGACTTTGTCCGAGTTTGGGCGGCTGTGGCAGAGTGGTTGGGGGAGTCGTCCTGGAACCGGAAGGTCACTGGTTCGATCCCCCGTCCAGCTGCCTCAGTTGTTGTGTCCATGGGCAAGACACTTTACCCCTAATGCCTCTGATGTGTCCCATCAGTGTATGAATGTGATTGGCACTGATTAGTCTCCATAGCTGATTGTACATGTTAGCTTTGTAGAGACCTAATGGAGTGCTGTGTGAATGGGTAAATGAGGACACAGATTGCAGTGTAAAGTGCTTTGAGTGTCCTGGATGGATAGAAAAGTGCTATATAAGTGCAGTCCATTTACCATTTACCATTTACTCTGCCAAGGTTGCCCTTTGTCACCGATTCTGTTCATAACTTTTATGGACAGAATTTCTAGGCACAGCCAATGTGTTGAGGTGATCTTTTTTTGGTGACCTTAGATCACATCTCTGCTTTTTGTGGCTGATGTAGTCCTATTGGCTTCATCAGATCCTGATCTCCAGCTCTCACTGGAACGTTTCGCAGCCGAGTGTGAAGCGGCCGGGATGAGGATCAGTGCCTCCAAATCCCAGACCATGGTCTTGAGCCGGAAAACGGTAGTGTGCCGCCTCCGGGTCAGGGAGGAAGTCCTGCCCCAAGTGGAGGAGTTCAAGTATCTCGGGGTCTTGTTMATGAATGAGGGATGAATGGAGTGGGAGATGGACAGACGGATTGGTGCTGCATCTGCAGTGATGAGGATGTTGTACTGGTCTGTCGTAGTGAAGCTCTCGGTTTACCGGTCGGTCTACGTTCCTACCCTCATCTATGGTCACGAACTTTGGGTAGTGACCGAAAGAACAAGATAGTGGATACAAGTGGCTGAAATGAGTTTCCTTCACAGGATGTCTGGGCTCTCCCTTAGAGATAGGGTGAGAAGCTCAATCATCCAGGAGGGACTCAGAGTAGAGCCGCTGCTCCTCCACGTCGAGAGGAGCCAGTTGAGGTGGCTCGGTATTTGGTTAGGATGCCTCCTGGACGCTTCCCTGGTGAGGTGTTCCGGGCATGTCCCACTGGGAGGAGGCCCAGAGGAAGACCCAGGACACGCTGGAGGGACTATGTTTCTCGGCTGGCCTTGGACTGCCTTGGGATTCCCCCGGATGAGCTGGTCCAAGTGGCTGGAGAGAGGGAAGTCTGGGTCTCTCTGCTTAGGCTGCTGCCCCTGCGACCTGACCCCCGATAAGCGGCTAAAAATGAACATCTACGTTTACCATGGAATTAGAAAAATCAAATATAAGCCTCTTTTAGACGTGTACATACATACTGTAATGCTAACAAATTGATCAAATATCTAACTTTTATTACACATAAAATTTATGAATGTGTTTCTTACTGATGTCCAGACAAACATAAGTTTGTTTTCTTTGCTGGTAAAAAAGACAGCTGACAGTCTTCTGATCTGATAGAGACAAAAAAGAAATAGAAATGAAAACAATACTTGCAGTTAACAGTACGAAAATTACACAAGATAATTGGCCTGTTAAAATAGAAACAGTATGTATATGACTTATTTGAATCTTAAATGATTTCAAATCGTACCATGAAAAAAAATGTAACCCTCATTCTGTCCTTATATCAAAATGACCCATCAAGGTCTCAGATTTAAAACTGTAGCCCAGAGCCTTTGAAATAAATYRCTCCAGGGGCCGCAGTTACTGCAGGTCAACAGCTCAGGTGCCGAACATCCAGCAATTAGTCATTATGTAAATAAACCAAGTGTTACAAAGATCTGTTACCTTCGAAATAGTTTATTTTGCTGCATTTAATCATTAATACAACATACAGAACCCATAAAAGTAGTGATAATTAAACAATATCAAAAATAAAAAGAACACTTTATCACGTTATGCCTCGTATTTAACACAAATATTATTTTGACATCTCTGACTTGCCAAATTTTTAAACCAATTTTATTTTCACTTTCATAGTTTTAGTTTCAACTGCATGTTATTTTAACTGTCTTGGTTGTGCATAGAACGTTTTTTTTTTACCAGCTTCTAGACAAAATTCTGATGTTTCTGTAGATACCAAACATGTCTATGTCTAACTAAAATAACGTAGAGTCATTAAAATAGAGRACCGGGGGTTTGGGCTTAAGAGATGAATAAACCAATTCGGGCCCCCWGTTGAATAGCCCAGCTGTAGCCAGTTATTAACTCTTTAAATAACCCATCAAAAATAACTATGAAAAAAAAGTTTTTGCATATCTTAGGTGACTGAGAACATATCCTTCACATTTCTAAGTATTGACCTCAACCAAATGACCAGATGTCTTATAACGGTTAAAGTACAAAATTGTGTTAGTTTTTCTAATGTTTGTGCTATTTTTTTCAAACATGATCATACTATTATCTCATGCTTAATTTCCTTGTTTTTGACTTCCTGTTTGGAGGAGGGGAAAACAAACTAATCGTTTGTCACAGTGCCTTTTGGTGGATTTTTTTTAGCATTACATACCGTGTTTATTCGTGTATAATACACGGTCATGCATAATTCAACCCCAGCTTTTTGAACTTAAAAAGCATGAAAAAATTAAATCCTCAAGTCATTCTAATTTCATACAGACTTCAATATTTTTCAGCCTTTGCAGTTTTTATACATATCAGTAAAAATATTATTTGACTGTTAATTTTATTTTAACAACATGTGTACAAATTATTGTACAAATTGTAGGTATTTTGACAACAAATATATATCAGCAAACTATGATTTTGAGCTTTGCAGCATCATCATATGAATTCTGGTATTTGACACATAGTCCACCAGGGTGCGCCAACACAAAGCTCAGAGAATTGGGCCATCTTCTGGTGGAAAAACAGAGGCTGTGTCCAAAACGGCAGGCCGGGTCCTCCGAAGGCCGAATTTGTCGGCTGCATACGTCACAGC